ATGTCTCGGAAGAGTTACTTTTAATCAATATAATATCAGAATTTAAAAAATTTAAAATTCTTAAATATCACCTTCTAGTTTTAAATTAACCATTACCATGATAAATGTAAACTTCAATTAGTTTTCATGCATTAAAAATCAATTATCTTGCTAGTTTCTGATTATGTATACCAATATTGCATGCTCATAATAACTTCCTCCCCTACCACCTCTTCTCAAATGCAAACTCAAAAGGTTAAATAGGGACGCAATTCACTTATTGTTGGTAGTTTTTAAATTTGATTTGGTTAGTTCAAGGTTTGCATTATCAAATTAAATCTATTATTTTTAAATTAAAATGATATTTTTATTAGAAAAACAAATAATTAATAATATTATAAGTGTTTTTTAATTGTTTCATATCAAGTAGATTTTTGTGTTTTTTTTAACCCAATTCAATTTTAATTTGAGGTTAATTACGTATAGAGTTAATTCATCAAAATGAGTTAAGTTTTAAAATTATATTATTAAAAAAACAAAATATTTAATATTAATGTTAAGAAAGAAAAATCTTTAACAAGTTGTTTGGAAGTAATTCTTCAATATATCGGAATTTATTAATAATATTTGATTTGAATTTAATTAAAAAATAAATTGAATTCACATATTAGGAAAATATAAAATTCAATTCATTTTAGTTTTTATATTACTTTTATTATCTTTATTTTTTCTATATTATTCTCATTATCTTTATTTTATTTCTTCTAAAATATTTTTGAAAAAGAGCTAAATGCGTATTTTAAAAAAGTCAATTTCAAAATTAAGTTTTATCTCCTTAAAATTGTAAATTAGATGATTGATATTTGATTTACACTTATACCATTTTAAGAAATTAAATTTGTAGAGAGTAGAATTCATTTCTTAACATTTAAAAAAGATTTCACACGTAAAGTTTTACAAATTTTTTTAACTGAATTTAATTAAAGGAATTCAAAACATAATTTATGAAAATTGTCTTTTCAAGAAAAAAATTAACGTGAAACCATGCGGAAGTGGAACATGATCATCATCTCCCACTCCCATGAAAAAGTAAAAACATACTTCCAAGAAAGTAATCATGGGTCACTGACAAGAAAAGATGCCTGACATTAACCCTTTTTCTGTCATGTACCTGCCCCTTGTATTAAGGGCAGACCTGTCATCAAAACAGGACAAACCTGGCTAGATACTACCAGTTCAAGCAAAACAAACAATATAAATTGTCTGATCTCTCTTTTCATACAATAATAGTAACTAACTGAAAATCAAACAATGGAGCCAAAACTGGTTCTAATTTTGTTTCTGTTAATCTCTGCAACTGCTACCTGTGAATACATTAGACCACCACCTCGAAAGACCCTTCATTTTCCTTGGAATTCAAAGTTGTCTGCTCATCCTCAACAGGTTATCTTATCATCCCTCTTCCTGTTCTGTTGATTAGATTGTGTTTTGCATTGGTTTTAGAGTTAAAGATTGTTTCTTTTCCAATGATCTGATCCGGTTTTTTTTTTTTGTTTTCTTCATCCGGGTTCTGTTGATGAAAACATAGTTTATTGAATAGGATGAAGTCAAGAAAGCGTGTTACTTTTGAATGTGTTGAATTGTTGCTGTTTAGTTTCCTTGGAATTGTTGATTTTATTGATGTTGATTGTTGTTTTATTGGACTTGATTCGGTGGGTGTCTGTTTGGTTTAATTACATGCTGAAGTTGCCCCAAAGAGTTGTTTCTGAGATGCTTTTCTTGTCTGTGACTCTGAAATGCTTTGGAACAACGGTTTTTCTGGGTTTCAAAGTAATTTATGATGCTGATTTGGTTTTGAAGTGCTTTGGCTCTATGAATCCCTATTGTAGGTGCACGTCTCTTTGGCTGGAGACAAGCACATGCGAGTCTCTTGGGTCTCCAATTATAAATCTACCCTTCCCATGGTTGAATATGGAACTTCTCCTGGAAGATACAGCAATAAGTCTCAAGGAGAGAGCACTTCATATAGTTATCTATTTTATAGCTCTGGAAAGATACACCACACAGTCATTGGGCCGCTGGAAGATAACACGGTTTATTACTATCGATGTGGTGGAGGTGGTCCTGAGTACAAGCTCAAGACTCCTCCAGCTCAGTTCCCTGTTATGTTTGCTGTGGCAGGAGATTTAGGCCAAACTGGATGGACTAAATCGACACTAGATCATATTGACCTATGCAAATATGATGTGCATCTGCTTCCTGGAGACCTTTCATATGCTGATTACATACAGCACCGCTGGGACACATTTGGCGAGCTGGTGGAGCCACTTGCCAGTGCAAGACCATGGATGGTAACACAGGGGAATCATGAGAAGGAAAGCATTATGTTCTTTAAGGATGGTTTTCAATCCTACAATTCTAGATGGAAGATGCCATTTGAGGAGAGTGGATCAAGTTCAAATCTTTATTATTCTTTTGAAGTTGCAGGGGCTCACATTATTATGCTTGGCTCATATGCAGATTACGATGAGCACTCGGATCAATATAACTGGCTCAAGGTTAGTTAAATCTTTATCCTCTTACAATGTGATCTTCTTTCCTTTTCTGTTTTAAGTGCAAATAGTAGTTTATTAACAAAAGGCTCAATGAACTGGTAAGAAAATGTGAATTTGTCCAGAGACTCGTTGGCATGAAATTTGGAAATAATTATTTGATGTATAAACGTGGTTCTTTCGCACTTGTCAACAGCATGTTGTGATTCCATGCTCCTGCCTATGTGTGTCCTTTGTTTGTGAGTCATCTAAGGCATCGTGAAAAAATGCTAAACTTACTGTTGCCCTTCCCTGAATTATCTTAACATTTATTGGGACTAATTGATTTGTAGAACTTGGAAAGCAGCACGAGAAACCGTATCAAATACTATCAATCTCATCTTGTCAACATAACTCCGTATCATATTGAAATTTAGATTATTAAGGTGCCGCATATTAGTGATCACACCATGAAACTTTCAAAGTTAATGCAAGATGCTTCAGCGTGGGTGAAAGCTTCGAAAAAAAAGAAAAGAAAGGCTTAGCCATTTCAAATGTTAATGCAAAATGCTTGAAGTTCCATCTTTTCATGAGCATACATGATAGGTGTCTTGTTTGTTCTCTGTTCCTTGTTTCTTCTTTGTTCAAAGCTCCATGAGGAGTAAAGAATATTTTAATTGCTTCTAATATTGGGGTTTCACTATTATAATTGATCTACAGGCTGATGTTGCAAAGGTGGATCGAAAGAAGACACCTTGGCTGATCGTACTATTCCATGTCCCATGGTATAATAGCAACGAGGCTCACCAAGATGAAGGGGGCAGAATGATGGCTGCTATGGAGCCATTACTTCACGCTGCTAGTGTGGATATTGTGCTAGCTGGCCATGTGCATGCTTATGAACGCACGGTGTGTCATAGAATTTCCGTATAGAATTTCCTTTGAGGCAGAGATCCAGAAATTGTTAATTTAGGAGTTAATGCCTGCATTTGCCTTTACCTTTCTGTCATCCTCGATTTCATGAAACATTAGTTATATTATCTCAGTTTCATGAAACATTAGTTATATTATCTGGCATGCTCTTTGATAGGAACGTGTGAACAATGGAAAATTGGATCCATGTGGTGCTGTCCATATTACGATCGGAGATGGAGGAAACAGAGAAGGTTTAGCTCGCAAGTATGTCCTCACTTCAACAACTTTCTGTATAGGACCAAAATATTTTGAAAATAATGTTTTCGAAATGAGTAGTTCTTTGTCTTGCCTACAATTTAATTTTCTTCATATCATTAACAGATACAAAAACCCACAACCAGCTTGGTCAGTCTTCCGTGAAGCAAGTTTTGGCCATGGCGAGCTCAAATTAGCAAATTCAACTCATGCCTACTGGAGTTGGCACAGGAACGATGACGATGAGCCTGTTAGATCAGATCAGGTCTGGATAACTTCATTGGAGAATTCTGGATGCATTGCTGAAAAGAAACATGAACTGATGAAGATTCTCTCGGAACCTTAATGCTCAAACTTTTGGTTCCTGTCACCCTAAAATGGGATGAAACTTTACTCGAGTGAGGTCTAAGTAAATAGTCGTGATACAGAGTCTACCACGCCTATCTCAGTCAAATAGATAACATGAAGCCATCACCTCTTGTCTGTTTGATCCATGTTGCCCATGCACGACCGTCTGTGGTATAGAATATAGTAACTTCACTAGCTGCTGTTGTATTTCACTTGTTTCTTTTGAAGGATAATTTCAAGTTGTTCACCTAAGGATGCTGTTCTTCCTGTGTTGGTTGGCTAGTAGATGGCCTTTTAGATATCTCTACTTGCTATAACCACTAGTGGGCCAAGAGAAAAAACAATGATGGTTACAACACATAATTTCAAAGAGTTTGGTACCCAGAGGGATTGGTGGATTCAGGTGAAAGAGCTATGAAACAGTATTCTTGATCCTCAAACAATGATCAGACATTTGAACGAAGAACTATTGATCTGCCGGCAGGTGCTAGTGCTACTGTCTAAAAATGGGATTAACAGCAACATTTTTATTTTTCCATTAAAAAGCATTACTGATTAGATAATTTAATTCAAGGGGTTGAACTTGCAAGTCAAAGTTAGAAATCCCGAGTTCATATTCCGCTGGGATTGGAATAAGAGGTAAGCTTGTGAAATTCCATAAGCGAAAACGGCCACTTTATGGAACAGAAAGAACTCCTTGATGTAATCCAAGATCTAGTATGCCTACCAATCCTACCAAAAAGAAACAAAAAAGCGAGCTTATGGTTATGGATCAGAAAAGAATATAGTTTGCCTACCAATCCTACCAAAAAGAAACGAGCTTATGGTTATGGATCAGAAAAGAACCCTTTCGGTGGATCCTTTCCTATCGTACAAGACAAGTAAGAGGGTAGCTAGACTAGAGCGATGGAGCCAATTTCTTGTACGTCTTAACATGCACCTATTTTATGTCCGATTGGAATCAACAACATAGTATCAAAACTCGAATAGGATAACAAGACTTTTAAGAACCTGAAACTTCGGAGTTCTGTCTCAACTTTCTTTACACCTAAGATGGCATAATGACCCGGATATAGAAACAACTAAGGATATTGCGGTTAGACCAAAGAGTGAGTTTTAAAAACAATCTCAAACAAGAAAATACACGAGTTCTTGCCATGTGATAAGATTGTACTAATCAGGCCTCAATTTTAGTCTAACAGACTGCCAATTTTAAGCAAATGGGCAACGCTACAGTCCTTTACGCAAAGGAGGAAATGGATGGACCTTTCAGCAAACAGGTGACGAAGGATGATATGTTGTTGGTTTGATCAGGTAAACCAAGCCAATGCATGTTGCCTCAGCCAGTTGAGTGTGTCTAGAGAACAAGCAAACTGCAATCAGCAATCCTGGCTAGCCAAAAACACAGCCTAGTCAAGTATCTAAAGTTTGCGCTCAGGCAGTTGATGATTCCAGTTCCTGATTTCGCTTGCCCCTCCAAAGAATAACCTGCTCGTCCTTGAATAAAATAGGAACACAAGGTACCAAATCCTACAGTTCGGGAATAAAAGGTCATGCGAGACATTCATGCATAATCTTATAAATAACAAAATGAAATGCTTGAGTCATACTCGTACCTTTAGTTTCACACCAATCTTTTTGCAGTCACTCATACCCACGTGTTTGCAGTCCAGTCTCACAACGTCCTCAGTTTCAAAAGCATCCCTCACTCTGTCAACCACATTCACATACACACCATTCCTGGCTGAACACAGATTCACAGCATTCAAAGTAAACACACCACTTCCACACCCTCCACTTTCAATCACCTTGAAATTTATTTAAAGCAACAATCTATCCAACCCTAGATAATACATTTCACTTACTGAGTTTCATCAGGGGCAGAGAATTCAATCCTCTGTTTCTCATTTCTTTCGTCTCTTCAAACGTCAAACCATCAGCCACATTCTTAACAAGCTTCGGATATATAGGCGCATAAGGCTTCCACAACATGAGGGGAATAACAGGCCGGTTCTCAGGATCATAATTTCGACCCCGATACAAAATAAGAATATTAATGTTCCTATAGACAACCTTCCCACCAGATTTATCCTACAAAAAAACACTATCATCTACATTAGCTAAAAAACACCAAAAAGTATGTATGATTGGTTGATACAATGGATTCCAACTCTATGAAATAAAATTCTATGAGACTTTGTATTCAGCTCAACACCTCAAGATGGAAACAAACATTGTCCATATCAAGAGTTGGTACTCCCAAACACTTGATCCTCACAGCTTCAGCTCTCTTCCAATGGTTGTGGATATCATCCAACATATTGTGAGTAACCCCTCCCTTGCCTGCCATCAAGATAAAGCAAACAAATTGATCAAAACATCAAGTCGTTCATCGGGCATATAATAGACGATATGTAATTTTAATGTAACTAAATTACCCAAATTGATTTGCCTGGAGCAATCACTATGGCGATACCGCTCCACAAGCTCCGCCACCTCCTCCTCCGTAAGTGGGTCCCCAAGAACCCGATTCCTCTCCTCCATTAACTTCTCCATGTCCGTCTCCAGCTGGGTCGGAGCAGCAGTGCCAGTCCATTTCCTATCAAGGCGACCAGGTCCGAAGGGAGAAAAGCGTTTCGGCTCACGATACCCAATTGGCTCAATTGCAGGATTTGACTCAGAATATGAGTATCTGAAGTCAAAAGGAAGGTCCGATTTTACAGGGAGTTTCGGGTCATTATTCGGGTCAGGCGTTTCTCTCGGCTTGGTGGTGTTTTTGGGTTTGGGTTTTTTGGTGAGAGAAAATGGCGGGTCATATTGGTCTTGAGAGAGAGTGTGGTTTAGGAAGTAAGAAACGTAGAGGGATTTTGATTTAGGGTTTTGGGTTAGGGTTTTGTGAGTGAAAGAAAGGAACTTTACTGCCATTTGGTGCAGCAGAAGGTTAAATTACACTGCTGTGTCAAAAAATAAAAACAAAAAGCTCTTGAGAGTTTATATTTAAATTATCAAAGGAGGTACAATCAATGAGGCTTCTAAGTGTAAAATACACTTCCTTGGATGTAGTGAATGAAGTCATTATGCCTTGTTCCATGTAGTAAAGAAGCAGTCTTCATTGCTACTAGCATTAAAGATTTCTTCTTCTTCTTCTTCTTCTTCGTTTTTTCTTTTTGCAAGCAGGAGTCCATTGACTAGAATAGACACAACAGATACTGAAATGGCAGAAGAAATTGCTTTTACTGCAATTAAGTGAAGAACGACACATTTATTCATATTGGCTGGTTATTAAGCTAGCCTGTAAGAGCGTGCCAACTAATCCAAAAGTTGTTACAAGCAGTAATCTCTGTTGTCCCTGTTCTATCTATAATCTTGATGATCCAGTAGTGAGGAGAGACTAAGCTTTACAGAATAAAAAGCATATTCATGCTAGTTTACGAAAAACCAAGCTATGTCGATGAAAACAGACCAGTTAACTTAAAAAGGGTTGGAAATTAGTTACCAATTAAATCATAAAAGCCTAAAAGGGAACATAGAATCTCTCAAATTTCTAAGAAAACATGAGAGGCTATGTTTCAAATCTTCCTCCTCGAAAAGAAGACTCTCCCGTCTCTTGAACCATCAATCAGCCAACTATAATTAATATTGAAGTCTATTTAAACTTACTAGTGCTCCCATAAAGAAAGAGAGAGAGACCCTGACCTAGTGATCTTTGTTTCTCTCTCACCAAATGAAAGATGGCAGTGACAGAATGTCATCTGTAAGTCCGAGACCTTAACTTCATTGCAATGTTGCACGGCACTGGTTCGCTCGTTCTTGATTTTCTTGCCCATATAGTGAAAGAAACCGGCCCTGATTGTATTTTCTTGATTTTTTATCACTTGAGAAAAAGCGATTTGTCAAAGAGAGTACCAAGGAACAAACCAGAGAAACTAAATCCTACTGACAAAATCAGTTTTGAAGCTTAATATAGCTTTCTGGTAGAGGTTTTGATAGCATGATATTGAGTGTTTGATGAATTAATAAATACACCAAGAAGAGAACATCAGGAAATATCAGTGTAAAGAACAAGGGCTGAATGTTTATGGCAGGATCATGACAGCTACGAAATTTATAGCTACAGTGTAACTGTCTTCCTAATTTTCTCGCAGTTGTATGCCTTGACTAGCAACTTCTACAAAGTGTTGGAATCTTCTACGATCCATTGACCAATTCATTTATCCTGCATGATTGCCCTTCTAAATGTTTAATTTGAAAAAGGTTAGCTTTTTGGATCGATCGATCCCATGTTGTAGCTATGCTTGCTAATCATAAAGAGCATATCTTTTACCATGTCAAATCAATGCATGCTTTTTTTGAGGAAGATTACATGAACATCTTACTTCAAAATCTTGATAAAGGAGAATGAAAATTCATTAACGAAGAGAATTTTAGATTGAAGTTCGAGTACCTTGCAACTAAGAGCGCACAATAAAATTACTTGACTCAAAATCTGCAACCTAAATTACAAAGTTCTACAGATACAACTTAATTCTGCAGTGCAGGCAAACATATTCCTTCGCTTACATATCTTGCTATTCTGGCACCATCTCAAAGATGATTAAACGCAGCAGTTTATCTTGCCATCAGCCTTGATCGAGTGCAAATCTGCCCTTTGCATTTTCTTGTCAAGACAGTAAAGTAAAACCATCAGTTACACAGCAACTGCCTTTCTTGTCAAGACAGTATCGTAAAACCATCAGTTACACAGCAACTGCCATTTTTTTTGGCATTTTTCACTCCAGTGCTAATGTTCTCTGCATCCGTAATGACTAGGGACAATTAATTTCAGCTACAGAATTCATAAATGCTGAAAAATTTGCTTAGTCGTATCGTGCATGTCTTTTCTCAGAGTAATATCAAGACAATCAAAGGGCCACGCACGAACTATTAAATTTCACCAAGCCACATCAACTTTCTACAGTCCACAACAGCAAATCAGGAAGACATGAATGCATGAGTCAACAACATAATTCAAGAAAGATAATTTATAAGATGAAGCATCCCAAGTCCCATCTGGATGCAAGCAATGTGTTTTGAGGTTCGCAAGTCAATGAAGTTACCTCCATATTAAAATGGTATTGCATAAATAAGATAAAATTACAATAGCAAGTAGAATGATTATGCAGAAGGGAGCTTGCTCAGCCTCTCATTTTTACATCTTCTTTGATCACCAACCATCGACTCAAAAACACCCAATAGACTATCCAAGCCTTCAGGATAATCCCCTATTTCCTCCAGCGCATAAACAATGCTCTCAATAGTAGACAAATAACCAGCTTTTGGTTGTTGCCTAACCTCACTATACAAACTCAACCTATCCAAGTCCAACTTCAAATGCGGCAAGAACCTCAACCACGGATTCTCACAATACATTCTCCTTGCCTTTGACCACGTCCCATCTAAAACAATCAAATTCTTCGCTTCAATATCCATTGCTTTAAGACCATCAACATCCAATGCGTTCTTGCTAGGAAATAAAAGCACTGACCCTGGAGGCACCGCAACTTCAAACTCTTCTACCTCTTCCAATTCTTCACTCCCACCAACCCTTCTCTTTTGCAACTTTTTAACAACAAACCCTGTTGCCAAATCATCAACAGCCACTTTTGAGGCCAAAATCTTATCAAAACTTAGCCTTCTTTTCCACTGAACATGAGGCATCCATACATTACCAATACTAATATCAGTAACAATTCCATATTTACCTATACTACAAGTAATCACGGGCTCTTTACTACCTTTAGTTACATGACTGGCATCGAATTCATCAGCTTTATCATCCATCACTTGATAAAAATCTGAACTTTTTTCTCCATTTTGACCCGAGCCCGAATCATGGCCCGGGTCAAACAAATGGATCATGAACTTGGCATCGAATTTAACATCAGAAACAGTGCTCAAAGTGACATTTTGAAGCCCTACTCTTGCGATTCTTGCAGAATTAAGAGCGTGTTTTCTCTCTAGACTGTGTTGGAGAATGGTGATGTTTACCTTGTTTTGAAGACCCGGGTTCTGGATCCGAATGCAGATACAGAGACTTGCGGGTTTGGAGCAAGACGGGCAAGTGGGTCGCTTGGATTTCAATTGGGTTCCTGGCGCTGCCATTAGGGTTTTTGAAGCGTTTGGGGTTTCTGAGGGGAGAGATTTGGGGATTGAATATAACGAGTTGGTTCGGGTTGGGATTTGGATCCGGCTACGAAAACAAACCAGCATTAGAGTACTGTGAAAAGCTGCGACGTTCTCTTACATGCAAACCTTAGAAATATAACTCCTTAAAAAAACAAAAGAACTTTTTTAAATTAATATTATTTTTATTTTTTTAAATAATCTTTTTTATTACAATGCATTTCTAAAAAATACTTCATCATATACCCTAACACCCCCCACACATATATGGTTACAATTAAACAATATTTAATATCAATTTGACTTAAAAAACTCTTAATTATAATTTTAAAATATGATCTGATTTGAGGTGCAGGGGTTAATTTGATTTTTTAAATTAAAATAATATTATTTTAATAATTATTAGATTTTAATTGAATTTTGACCTGATTTTACCTAAGTTAATCAAGTCATTAGGTAATCTGTTGGGTTAATTTATTCTTCTATTTTTTCTTTAATTTGGATTAAGTAAGATTTTGAATCTACCCATCAGATAGGTCCTGATTCTATAATTATTTTTTTAATTAATAAATTTAATTTATTTTTAAAATATTCTATCTATTATTTTGTTCAAATTATATTAGTTTTTATTTAAATGAAATTATTTTGTAGAAAATTTAACTTTTTTTTACCAAGCACTCTAACAGAAATTTTTAAAACGTGCTTGCATTTTGTTTTTCTTTTTTCAGCTCTTTATTTTGTGTTCACTACTGGAAGTGTTCATGGTTGCCACAAGCTTGGCTTTTGTTTTCTTGTCTGCCCCAAACCCATTAGACTTTGTTCATTTGGACCTGTTTCTGTCTCAATATTCTGCTACTTTGTTACATTTTTAGTCTCTTTTGGTTGGATGCATCCAGCTTATTTCTCAAGAATCTTTTTTGACTGAATTTTTAATCATCGGTAGACTTAACTAAATCCAATCTAGTCAGCACAAAAATAAAAAGAAAATATAAATAATAGATTGGAATGATTCATAGGTTGATTTAATAATTTAGATTTTTTTTCAATTTTGTTTTTAAACTAGAGAAACTCGACAAGCAAAATGTTTTTATAGAATGTTCAATTTGTCATTACTATGAAAATACAAGGACCATAAAGCAACAAATAACCAAACTTGATCACGTATAGCTCACTCCTTCCCACCGTGCTTGCCACACTCCGATAATGATAAATGGTCCCCCCACCACTGTCCATTTACAATTAGAACTTCCAAACGACCACGTTTTGTATAACTCCCTAGACAGTCCCCAGGGCAAATCAGGAAACAAAAATAATAAAATCATTTCAATTCTGGTCGACCAAAAACAGTTGACCAACAGAAAAAATACTCATTCTTTGCTTGATCTGTGAAGAAAAAGTTTCGATCTTGGAAATCAAGAAATCCAAGAAAGATGCATGATTTCTGCTTCACAATCCCTTATGGTTTGGTTCTTGTGATTGGAGGGGTTATTGGGTATTTGAAGAAAGGGAGTATGGCATCATTAGGTGGTGGTGCTGGCACTGGATTGGTTCTTATCTTTGCTGGGTACTTGAGTCTTAAAGCTTTTGAGAAGAGAGAGAATTCATTTCTTGGCTTGGCTATCGAAACTGGTAAGACCCTTTTGTTTCTTTTCTTTGTTCCTTCCATTTGGTTGTAGCTTTTTGGTTTGGTGCTGTTCACGTTCTTGATTGTGTGTGTAATTTAACTTGTTATGTGTTTGAAATGGTGTTGATCTTGATTAGCTATGAGTAGGAATGAGTGAAAGATGGAAAATTGAATGGATACAGACAGTATGTGCGAGGATTTCCTTATTAAAAGAAAGGAGCATGGTGTTTAAGGCTTGAAGTATTTATGGAGTAAATAAGGTTCCTTTTTTGATTTAGATGAGATGATATTTATTATTGTAATGGGTTCCTCTTGGTTTGCGATTATATATGCTATGTCTAGAAAATAGCATTAGTTTGTGAATGGGACGAAGGGGTAGTGGAAGTAGTCATTTGGGCTTAAGTTGATTGAAGGGTTTTTGTTTTCAACTTGAATCATTCTGTGTATTTTTGGTGATTTGAGCATTCTCCATTACGAAGAGAAGTTGGCTTGTTGATCGGGGTGAATGAAATGACCCTATTTTCCATTAGAGGGACTAAGCTACTCTCAAGTTTAATCTATGCATTAAAATCGATTGTGCGGAAAAACAGAAAAAAGTGACCTTTAGTACAAGTATATGTTTGTTGATGTCATATGAATCCAAGAAAGGAAAATATCCATTTTAGCAGTTTATTTTGACTGAAATGTTACTTGGATTTTCTTCCCTATTCTGAATGTCAAGACTATGGTGCTTTTGTTGATGGTCGAAGAGGAGGATAGAAATACTTTATATTCATCTGCAAAGCTTCAGATCCTGATCTTTTTTTGTTGACAAGGACTGTTAAAAATGAAGAAAACATCGCATCCTTCTCTTTACTACTCAAGCTGTATTCATATACTTTGTCGTTTTCCAATAGTCTGAAAATTTGTATTTATATTCATTCATTCATTCATGTGCCTTTGGAACAGTTTGTGCAGCCATACTGACATTTGTGATGGGGCAACGGTATATGCAAACCTCTAAGATAATGCCTGCTGGTATTGTCGCTGGTATCAGGTATGATAAATCATGCTCTTTCATCTTCCTGCTACTTTCTTTTCTGATTATATTTGCAATACCCCTATCATAGTAATTGATTAGTAGATGTAAAAATTCATGCATTTGCCTTATATTTTGTATACATCTCATCTCACTTTTCACCCTCTTATATTCGATGGTTATCTATTGTACTCTTTGCTGAATATTTTTCTAGTGTTTTCTGTGAAATATAAATCAAACGAGAGCTATTCAATCTGAATTTTGGTATGGAAATCTATATTCCAACCCCGTTCTGGCATGGTACGGGCATAGAACTTTTGAGCTCTCTCTTGTTTAGCATCTTTCTAGCATGTGCTAGTGCCTAGGATATATTGGTTCGCATGGCTGTTGTATTGTGTTTAATTGCATCATACCACTATGCCTTACCATAACCTTGTGAAAACTTTGATCTAATATTCTAGAAGCCATGTTGCCAAAGTTTCGTTTTGTTTACACCCAAAATTTCAGTTCTTCCAATCTTTTGTATTGTGCACGATTGCATCATGTCACTATGCATTAACTTTTACTTTATGAAACCCTCCATCTAGTAATCACCATATTAACGGGGGTTTCCTTTATTGATTGAATCATTTATTTTGATTTCATGAGCTATGCACTTACCGTTGTGTTTTCTTGCAGTGCTGTTATGACTCTGTTTTACCTGTACAAAATCGTGACTGGTGGCAACCACATTCCAGCTAAGGCCGAGTGAAGGCTTTTGAGGGTTTTTATATAACCGATTTCAATAGATGCTCTGAGATTGTAGAAACTCGTATACTTGTGTCGAGGAATTTTAAAATTTTGAACTGATTTGTACCAGTGTGTGCTGAAGCTATTAAATGTATGAGGCAAAATGTTGTTCAAAAGCAAAGTACAACCCGATTTCTGGCTCAGTTGGGGCTTTCTCTTCATCATGCTGAGTACCTTTTCAATATTTTCCCTCTTTCCCCCTTTCTCCTCGAACTGATTGGTAAATGAAAACCTGATGAGGAAAAAGTGATAAGAATTAGAGGTAATGGGTAAATTTTTAAACTTTTTATCCTCTTGCATGTGGGAGAGTTTTAACTTCCTTGGAAATCTCTCCAGTCTTCTCTTTCTGCGTGTGAAGCATGCAAAAAGCTATAGAGGAAGAAAAACTAAAGAGTGAAATTTTACCCAGTAGACTTCAGGCTTCGGATCGGCCTAGAAAGACATTATTTTAGGTTTGGTTATTACATAGACAGTCTTCATTTGATGTAGGACAAGGAGGAAATTGAAGAGACTGGAAAAAACCTAGAAATTCACTAGGCTAAACCATCACAAAAGAACTAGGAACAAATCCATCTAGACATGTTGCTTTCACAGTGCTATATACCTGCTCTAACTTTCACAATTTACGAATCAAATTTGATGTTCGATCTTAAACCACATGATGACAAAGGCAGAAAAGCATCTGTCTTCGTGCGTTGATTGGTGCTAAGCATTGGAATCAAATGCACAAAATAACAAGAAATACAACACTGTTAGTATAATATTCGTAGCCGTGAGCGAGATCAATATCATGCGTTTCTGATACAAGGTCAAACCAGCCAAAAATGTGTCCCACGTCAATTTTCTTATAATGCTGGGAGCAAATTATGATCCAAATTGAGATCGCAACCTAACCTCGAACCTGTCCTAGGACAGTTGACAGTCGACACCTCTAAATTTGCATTTTAAGAAATTCAAACTTCTTTTTATTAAAATATAATATATTATGCATTGTTTTAATATACTGATATTAAAAATAATTCTTTTAAAATAAAAAAATTATTATTAACATATATTTTAATATAAAAAATTATTTAAAAAATAACCATAAACATATTATCAAACAATCTATTAATTTTTATGGTAAAAAATATGTCCCACATCAATTTTTTACAGGTTAATCGCCAATTATGGCCAATTACAACCCCAAAGACCAAAAGCAATTTAATTGTCCTCATAATTCTCATATACAAGTCACATGCCCACTTAACTTCGACTCCATATCTGCAGAAATGAATACATTTTTCACCATTTTTATCTTCCCTGTACCCATCTTCCTTCTGCTTACCAGGTGCAGAAGGTCATCAAAGAAGGTTCCTTCAGGTTCACTGGGAATTCCCTTAATAGGTCATATAGCCTATACCTTCAGCGTGCTATGAGAGCCAATACTGCAGAAAAATGGTTTCAACGAAGAGTGCAAAAATACGGTCCAATAACAAAGCTAAGTCTGTTTGGCTAACCAACTGTTTTCATTTATGGCCAGGCTGAAAACAAAGTTCGTATTCACTAGCGATAACATCACACTCGCCAAAGCCAAACACAAACTTTGACGAGGATTTTGGGGGATAAATGTTTGGCAGAACTCAGTGGACAAGATCACAAGCGTGTCGGGGATGCTCTTGTATCATTTTTGAAGGCTGAATCACTGAAACATTATGTGGGGAAAATGGATGAGAAAGTCTGGATGCACGTGGAGACGCGTTGGCAAGGAAAACAATTCACGGTTTGTTGATGAAGTTTACCATGAATGAATTGCCCTTTGTTTAAGAAAGATGACCAAACACAAGTTTTTTTATGTTCGCTTATAGGTCCTGCCCTTGATCAAGAAGCTAAAATTCAACATCATTTGCTCTCTTCTATTCAGAATCGAACGAGGAGGGTCTCGGAGAGATAAACTTGTCAATTTGTCCCAGTATATGATAGAGGGAGTATGGTCAGTCGCCATTAACTTGTTTTTCACGCGATACAACTGCAGCCTCCAGGCAAGTGCAAAGGTTTGGAACATGTTGAAGGATCTCATAGCCGGAAAGAAGGTTGAATTGCAGAGGGGCGCTAATCCTCACCAAAATCTCACCTCTTGCCTGCTTAGCAAGCGTAATCAAAACAATGAAGAAGTAGCGAGTGAGGAGATCGTGGATAATGCTATTCTTATCTTATTTCGATTGCAGGACATGACACTTCATCTGTTCTGATATGATGCGGCTTTTTGCTAATGAAACTTCAATTTATGCTGGTGTTCTGAAATGCTCAATACTCATGAGGAGGCAAAGACAAGAGATTCAACAAGAAGAAAAATATTGAAAATTACAAAAACAAGGTGGAGATCCACCATGTTCTTACTATATAAAAAAAAATCACGATAGAGAAAATGTTGGTGGAGACTAGAAATTAAGTGCAGAAAATATGGTCAGATTGGACACATTAAAAGAATCTGTAGATGATAACAATATAAAAAAAAGCAAATCCTGTTGCCCAACAACCTGAAAAGAAGCAACTGTTTGTTGCATCATGCTTTTCAACAAGCAACAACTCAAGTGATTCCTGGTTAATTAATAGTGGTTGCACAAACTATATAATAAATAATCATGTATTATTCAAAAAACTTGATAAAACTACTATTTCAAAGTCAAAATTAAAAATGATGATTATATTGTTGTGAAAGGCAAATAAATTGTTGCTATAAACAGTTTGTCAGGTTTGAAATGTATTTCAGATGTTTTATATGTAACTGACATTGATAAGTATTTGCTAAGTGTTGGAAAACTAATGGAAAAAGGTTTTAAAGTGATATTTGAAGATAAATGATACTTGAAAAAAGACAACATAGGCAACAACGTATTCAAAGTGAAAATAAGAGTAAAAGGTTTTCTTATGGAGGAGGAGCAGGGTGCTTTTTCCATATATACATGCAATGGTGAACTGTGACATAAAACGCTTGTGCATTTTCACCGTGTTGGATTAATATATATGTAGAAACATGATTTAGTGAAAGGTGTTCTATGGCTGGAGAACATATCAACAAACTGTGCAGCTTGTCAATATAGAAAGTAGGCTAGAAAACCTTTTCCTCAAACTACATGAAGAGCATCATATAAACTTCAACTAGTACATGTATATGTTGGAGGTCTTTAGAGAATAAATTTTTTAAATGGCAATAGATACTACATAATCTTTGTAGATGATTATTCTAGATTTTTTTTGGATTTATTTTCTTAAATTCAAATTCGAAGCTGCTAATGTATTCTAAAAGTATAAAACATGGGTGAAAAATCAAAGTACATGCAGGATATAAATTATAAGGTCTGACAATGTGAATGAATATACCAATGGAAGATTTTAATAATTCTATTATGAATCTGGCATTAAACACCAACTTACAGCACTATGCACATCATAACAAAATGATGTGAGTGAAAGAAAAAACATGAGCATTATGGAGATGACTAGACAAGTGCTACATGAAAAAGCATTGCTAGAAAAACTATAGGATGAGGCTGCAAACACATCAATGTATTTGCTGAACAGGATGCCAACCAGGGCTTTGTAGGAAAGAACCCCATTTGAAGCTTGGTTTGGATACAAACCAACATTTGAAAATCTTTGGTTGCCTTTGTTCTACTTCTATACCACAGGTTAAAAGAGACAAGCTGGATAAGAAGGCTGAACTAGGAGTGTTCTGGATACAACAATCTATGAAAAACCTATAGAATCTTCCAACTATAAAATGGAAAAATTCTAGTAAGTAGAGATGTTCATTTGATGGAAGATAAATAATGGAAATGGAAGGAACTATTAGAGAAGTAAGAATCATCAATAGAGAAGTAGGAATCATCAATTTAGGAGATTATTAATGACATTATTGATGATGAGCCAATAAGAGGTACAAGATCTTTATTTGAGATTTATAAAAGTAGTAATATTGCTATTTGTGAGTCTACAGAGTTTGAAGAGGCAATGAAGAATGAAGAATGAAGAATAACAAAAAGATTGAAGCAATAAAAGAGAAACTTAGAATGTTTGAAAAGAATGATACTTGGGTGTTGATGGACAAACCTCTACACAAAAAAGCTATAAGAGTCAAATTTGTTTATAAAACCAAACAAAATAGAGATGGTTTTATCAATAAATACAAAGTCAGCTTAGTTATGAAAGGTTATGTTCAAGTATTTAGAGTGGACTTCTCAAAAACTTTTGCTCCTGTAGTAAGACTTGATATAATTAAGATGCTACTAGCATTGTGAGTACAAAAGAATTGGAAAGTGTATCGGCTAGATGTAAAACCTACTTTCTTGAATAGATATATGCAAGGGGAGATTTTCATAGAACAAGTAAAAGGTTTTGAAGTCAAAAAGCAAGAGGAGAAGGTATATAAGTTAAAAAAGGCATTATATGGCTTTTAATAAGCTCACAGAGCATGGTATAACAAAATTAATGAGTATTTACATAAACTTGGTTTTGTTAAAAGTCCAAATGAGGCCACATTATATGTAAAAAGAACTGATGCAAACTTAATCATTGTTTTTGTTTATATTGTTGATTTACTTGTAACAGGAAGTTATGAGAAACTAATAGAAGAGTTCAAGGTTGAAATGCTCAACGCATTTGAGAAGACAAACATTGGTTTGATGTCCTACTTTCTAGGAATGGAGTTGAAACAAAACAATGATGGAATCTTCATATGTTAAAAGAAATATGCTAGGAAAATACTGAAAAAGTTTCACATTAAGAATTGCAAAAGCATAAGCACTTCCATGAATCTGAAAAAAAAAATTCAACAAGAATGATGGAGCAAACAAAGTAGATAAAGGTCAATATAGAAGCTTAACTAAGTGTTTGATGTATTTCACAACAACAAGATCTGATATTGCATTTACTGTAAGTTTGCTCTCACGATTCATGCATTGTGCTAGTGAATTACATCTTCAAGGTGCAAAAAAGATTGTAAGATATATCAAGGGTACACTAAACTATGGTATAAAATTCTCTCATTTTTAAAATTTTATACTTCATGGCTATTCTGATAATTACTGGTTAGGATTTGTGGATGATATGAAAAACACTTCAGTCTATTGTTTTAGCTTCGGATCAGACATGTTCTCTTAATGTACTGGCTAGGATCTGTGGATGATATGAAAAACACTTCGGTTTATTGTTTTAGCTTCGGATCAGGCATGTTCTTTTAGTGTTCAAGAAAGCAAGATGTTGCTCAAAGCACAGTAAAGCCGAAAATGTAGCAATTATTGTTGTTGTAAATTAAGAAATTCAGACAAGAAAAATATTTGCAAAATTGCATATGGAACAACTTGAGCCAACACCAATTTATATTGACAATCAAGCTACAATTTCTATTGCAAATAATTATTTTTTTTTATGACAGGACTAAGCATTTTAAAATTAAATTATATTTTTAAGAGAAATTAAGAAAAAAGAAGAAATTACTCTGCTTTATTGTAGAACTAATGACTAGATTGTATATGTTTTAACTAAAGCTCTTTCAAAAGCAAGATTTGAAGAACTAAGAAGCTAGTTAGGTGTCTGCAGCCGTTAAGACAAAGAAGAGTATTGAAAAAATGCCTTAAAAGTCACGGAAGATCAGGAGGTTTGCTGATGATGAGGATTGGCTTGAAGATCTCTACTAGAAGATCAAGTCTTTAGAAATAAAACTGTTTGAATTTTTTTGATTTATTTGTTATGTAATCTTCAGTTTTGATAGTAATTGAGTTAAACTAAAACTCTATCTCTATTTAAGAGAGTTATGCAAGTAATAAAAGTCATCTTTCCCATACAATTCTTTTGATCCTTTTACGTTTTGTTCTGCGCTTAGTGTAAAACAATCAACAAAAAGCAAACCCAAGGGATAACTGTAAACCTGGGAGAACCTTTCAAATATGAATTACACATGTTAAGTAGCATTGAAAACCTTAAGAATGTTCCCTCTCCTCTTTGGTGGTTTCCGGAAAGCTTTTAAAGATACAGAGTGTGGCGGATACATTATTCCTGAAGGGTGGCAACCGAATTCCCCCAGTTTTCACTTTCTATCTCATTCTCTTTGATACGTTTCTTTCTTTGGTTTTTTTGATATTCTGGGCTACAAATATGACACACATTAATTATAGCATTTTCCCAGAACCATCGAAGTTTGATCCGACGTGGTTGTCCTACCAAACTGCTTTATTCCGTTTGGAGCAGGGTCTAGGGTTTGTCCAGGAATGACTTTGCAAAAGTTGAAACCCTTGTTACAATCCATTATCAGGCCACTCAATATACTTGGAAGTTGCTAGCAGATAATGGTATCAGCAGAGATCCAGCACTCTCTCCAAGTAAAGAATTACCAGTCCAAATCATGCCACAGGCATAAATGTAACTGATGCAGGAGCTGAAAAATCATTAATGGGAGTCACCAAAGTTAAGCAAATTAAAAGCCAAATGACTTAGGCACCTTGAAAAATAAATGAGCAAATCTATGATATCTACAGATATCTCCAGCCATTCTAATGTATCCTTTTGTAGAAACATAAATTTTGTACCAATTAAATTTTCTCAAGTTTTATTTTATATCGAAGTAGTACTTTCGTAGTTGCAATCTGTCAGTTGAACTTCATGTGGCTTCCATTTTGCTTTCTCTTTCTTTGCATGATCTTGTATATAAAATGTAACCCGTGGTTCAAGTGAAGAGAGGATAGAGTTGGTGAGATTGATTAAGATAAAGTTAAGCTTGTTTAGCTTATGTCTAGCCGTGGATCTCTGTGGTGGATTTCATTCAGTGGTGAGATATAACCTCTAATTTATAAAGCGGTGATCTTTCTGTATCTGTTAGAATGTTGATAATTTTGCTATTGTGTATGTCTACGGTATTTTACTGTAGAAATATACTGATATACTGCAGAATTATTGCTGAAGGAAATCTGCAGAAATGTCAGTAGAGGTCCCTAAATTTAAGGGATATGTTACAAGCTTTGAATGTATCAGATGAAGACTTTCTAATACAATTTGTGCCTGTAGATATAATGTGATACCAGTTCTGAAGCAGTGTGAAAAAAGACATCAGTTTACCAAGAACAAAAACTTTCTTTTCTCTTTACTTCTCTGCTGTAGAAGTTCCAGTTAATCACAAAACCAACAGTATCCTTTGATATTTTTGTGAGTTTAATGTTTGTTCATTCTCCTAAGAGTGGTGGCGATTTCCTAGCATCTATAAAGGGTTGAACATGATCTAATCTCCATTTTTTTCCTAGCATCTATAAAGGGTTGAGCATACTCTAATCTCCATTTTTCTCACATATCCAGAATCTCCATTGAAATTACAGCCCCCTTGTGCTGTATCTGCAAAAACTTGGTCTTCTCATCAGCGTAACTGGTGTCTAATTCAGTTTGGGCATATTGTTGGGATTTTCCATCCTCATAATCTTGTTTTAATACGAAAAATTTACCTATGGGGCAAGAAAAAAATGCATTTGAAGTGACCATGCCAGTCCCTGAGAACACCTCCACACCTGCTAATCTGCTATGCCTGGCTTGGTCAACGAACTATTAATATTTCACTTCTGCAAAATATGAAAGTGAAATTTAACTTGGTAAGGTGACTTCAGATCTGCCATAAAGATAATATAAGGTTTGGTCGTTTTTCCTTTAAACCTGGATCTCAATTTACCTAATAAAACCAAGATCTATTTCAAAAAGACATTTTTTTTTAAAGCAACATCAACATGAATTAAGTGAGACATGCTTCTGATGAAACCAGAAATATAAGAGAAGTAGCATAGGTTGTCAGAACAATTTTCTTGTATGTTCTGTGTTAAACATTTCTGCGCCTGATAATCTTTCCCCAACCACAGGACAACAGTTGAGAACTAGGAACAGCTACAATTTTTGCTCTCACAGCATCATCTATCAGCTGTGAACTCTTTTTTTTTCCTGCTGTAACAATATTCACAAATCACATTGGATGGAAACCATATGCACAGGACATTAAAGCATCTTTCTTCATGCAATCATATGGTACTATACTTACTAGCATTGGTGTTGACAAACCTTTTATCAATGACAAAGCAAAGCTTTATAACTCTCTGTATATTTCCTCTTACTATATATTGAATGAACTTGGCTATATATAGCCTTACAGTAGTAAATGAAACAAAAGAAATATCACGTGTGCAGTTTCCGTTAGCATTACAGTTGCTAACAGAAAATTTTTTTCTAACAAAATCAGTTATTGATTCTTCAGTTTTCTAACAAAATCAGTTATTGATTCTGATTTATCTCCTACAGATATATGCACGTATTCCACCTGTCAATTCTTCCCCTAAACTAACTGTGATACATAGATACATATTTAGTTTAGCTTAATAGCTCTACACATTCCTATCTGACTTCTAAACTTCTGGAAGGATTCCAACTTCAATGGTTTTGTCATGATATCTACAGTTTGTTCTTCTGTTTCACAATGTAGTAGTTCAATAATTCCATCGTTAGCAAGTTCTCTCAAGAAATGGAAATGGACATCAATATGCTTGCTTCTTCCATGCATGACAGAATTCTGACAGTTTAATAGTGGAGCTATTGTCACACACATAACTATGGTGCTCTTTTTCTGAACATGTCCCAGTTGATTCAAAACTCTTTTCATCCATACCACTTGATTTGCACACCCTGTAGTTGCTACAAACTCTGCCTCTGTGATTGATAATGTGACAATTGGCTGTTTCTTTGATAACCAAGACATTACCCCTGAACTTAACAAAAAAAAATGTAACTTGAAGTGCCTTTTCGATCATTTAAATCACCAGCATAGTCATTATCGGTATAAACAATCAAGTCATTCGAGCTCCTCTTCTTGTACATAATTCCATAATCAAAAGTACCCTTTAGATATCTTAATATCCTCTTAGCAGCTTATAGGTGTAGGTCTGTAGGTCTAGCCATGTATCTGCTAATCAAAATTACACCGAAAACTAAGCCTGGATGAGTTGCAGTGAGATACATGAGGCTCCTTATTATTTGTTTATAAAATGATTCATCAACTACAACTCCATCTGCATCCTTGCTTAGCTTGGAACCTGGAACAATTGGGCTATTGACTTCATGACTTTCTATCATTTCAAATTGCTTCAAGATCTCGAGTGTATATTTCTTTTGGTAGATGAAGATACCATCACTTTGTTGTGATACTTCAATGCCAAGAAAGAACTTCATTTTTTCTAAATCAATCATCTCAAACACTTACATCATTGAACATTTGAAACTAATTATCTCTTCATCATCACCTCTGTATTTAAATCATCGACATAAACACTTGCAATAAGCATTTTTCCTTCTTTGCTCCGTTTGGTGAAGAGTGTCTGCTCATTTGGATATTTTTCAAAACCCTAATTGATAAAGTAATTATCCATGCGGTTGAACCAAACTCGTGGAGCTTGTTTTAGGCCATACAATGCCTTATACAACTTGTAGACTTTGTCCTCACTTCCCTTAACCTCATAGCTCTTTGGTTGTTCAATATACACATCTTCGTTAAGTTCACCATGGAGGAAAGCTGACTTCACATCCATCTAGAAAATATTCTAGTTTCTTTGAGCTGCTAGAGCCACTATCATCCTTACAGTTTCAATCCTTGCCACCGGAGCATATACTTCTATATAATCTATGCCATGTTTTTGTGTGTAATCTTTAGCCACCAAACGTGCTTTATGCTTCTCAAACTCTCCATGCTCATTGTACTTGGTTTTATAAATCCATTTCAGCCTAATTTTCTTGACTTCAACGGGTAATGAACTAATGTCCATGTCTTGTTTTTCTCTATAGACTTGATTTCTTTATCCATAGCTGATCTCCAGTTTGCATCTGTCATTGCTTCCTCATAATGCAATGAATCACTTGACATTATCAGAGCCAAATCTTCATCTTCAGAAGAACCGAGACTGTCCCCAGTAACATAATCCTTCATCCATGTAGGAGGATTTCTCATTCTTTTACCTCCTTTATTATCTTCATTGTCTCTATTATTAATGCATACATCTCTCTCATTAGCTTCAATGTCTCTTTGTTCAATGCTTGCATTTCCCTCATTATCCTCACTACAATTATCCTCATGTTCAGTGTCATTATTACTAACATCATCTACTCCTTCTTCATCACTATCTCCCTATTCTAAGTCCACCAACATCTGCTTTTCAAAGTTCTCATCCCAATCCCATTATTTCTCCTTTTCAAATATCACATCTCTGCTTACCACTACCTTTTTTGTAATCGGGTTGAATAGTCTATAGCCCTTAAATTCCTCACTAACACCTAGAAGTATACACTTAACACTTCTATTGTCAAGTTTAGTTCTTTATACCTCTGGCACATGAACATGTGCTATGCACCCAAAGACACGAAAATGATCAACAAAAGGCTTAATTCCATTCCACACCTTTGCTAGTGTGATGTTTTTGACCATCAAGGTTGGACATCTATTTAGCACATAGTTGCTCCAATTCACTTCCTCTGTCCAAAGTGTTCTTGGAACTTTCTTTTCATACAGCATTGCATGAACCATGTTCATTACTATTCTATTCTTTCGTTTAGCTACACCGTTTTGTTGAGGGGTGTAAGTAGTCGCCAGTTGCCGCTTAATGCCATGTTGTTCACAAAATTTATTGAATTCAAGTGAGGTGAACTCGCCTCCTCTATTTGTTCGTAAACACTTGATAGATAGGTCTGTCTCATTCTCCACCATTTTCTTAGAACACTTGAAATGACTCAGTGCTTCTGATTTTTCAAGCAAGAAATATATCCATGGCTTTCTGCTGTAGTCATCTATAAAACACAGTGTGTATTTCTTGTTGCCACACCACATGGGATTAATTGGTCTGTAGATGTCTGCATGGATGAGACCTAATACTTGACTTGCTATCCAATAACTCTTCCTTGGTATAGAATCATGGTGATGCTTCCCCATGATATAGTTTGTGCATAATTCATCTGAGACCATAAATGAGGGAAGGCCACGTACCATTTTCTTGCTCTGCAGGGTTCTTAAGCCTTTATAGCTTAGATGTCCATATCTGTAATGTTAGAGTTGTGACAGATTTTGCTGGCATTGTGAGTTTGTGTGAAACTCATCGTGTTGTTGCTAAGATGTCTCTTGTGAATTAGATAACAGAATGAACATTCTATTGGCACTCATGTTTGTCTTAGTGGTTAAAACTATGTGAGGGTGGTAGATCTTGCATATTTCTCCTTGAATCAGAATTGCCAAACCCTTCTCTTGAAATTGCCCTACGCTCAAGAGATTGTTCTTGAGTTGAAGGATATAGTATACTTTAGTTACTATAAGGTTTATTCCATTTAAATGCAGCTTCACACTTCCTTTGCCCATCACATTCATTCTGGTGTTGTTTCCTAACCTTACCAGTTGTCGAAAATTGTCATCAAGCCAACTGAACATGGTTCTATCTTCACACATGTGGTTTGAGCATCCTGAATTAAGGAACCATGCATCTCTTCCTTTAGCTTTGTTTTCTTCTACATAGGACATTAGCAACATCTCCTCTTTCTCGTCAATATCCTTGGCATAGTTAACTTCTTTGTTCCAAGAAGGGCACTCAGATTGGAAATGGCCCAGTCTATGGCATCGATAGCATTCAACTGTCGCTTTGTTGAAATTGCTGCTACCGTTGCCCCTTCCTCTTCCTCTACCCTTATAAGTAGTCCTACCTCGTCCTCTGCCTTTCTCTTCTTCCAGAGTAACCTTCAAAACTTGTTCTTCACCATGATTTTTCGTAAACTTCTGCTCATGCACAATTAATGAGCTTTGAAGTTCATCCACAGAAAGTTTGTTAATGTCTTTTGACTCTTCTATGCAGCAAATAATGTAATTAAATTTTTCTGTGAGGGTGCGAAGAATTTTCTCTATAATTTTCACATCCTCCATCTCTTCTCCATAGACTTTCATCTTGTTT